TCTCTCTAGATTATTTCGTTTCCGATCACTAGATCGTTGAAGGCGAATATTCCGTCAAACGGAATGTTCGTTGTTTTGCAAGTGTCCGCGACCGTCTGAATTTATTCAAGATCTATATCTCGAGGGATTCTAAAAAACCCCCCGAAATATTTGGCATTGTCTTTGGGAATACACGTCTGAAATGGCTAAAGATGGTTAGACACCCGGTTCTGGTCATGACAGTAATGTAGAGAACATAATTGTTACAATAAACACTAGTGATCCTCTGACCGCCTCATTCCATGAGGCCAAGGACCCACAGTAATGGTCGGCTCCTTGCACGCCGCCTTTAATAAGCTCCGAAAAGAGCTTGAGGGTAAGATACCTTCTTCTTCTTCTAGACAGCCGTCCAGAAGAGAAGAAGAGGGCATCAGGAAAAAACCCCAAAACAAGATGGCCAACACTAAAGATGCAGGGACTACCCCGTTTAGAAGACATCAGAGGTCCCCAAGGGTGCCTCGGATGAATTGTCCAAGCTACTTGGGAAAACACAGTCAGCTCGGGGCAGACCAAGCAGCCATTGAGGCAGCCAAATGAGCCGTCCCAACGCTAGAAGGTTGCTAGAGACTATCTCCGGCACAAGCGACAGGAGTGAGCACAGTCCTACTACTCGGACACTACCTCCACTCCCACCATGCCGAATGAATTTTCAAACCATACCCTCTCTAAGCATACCAGCTCGGCCAGGACCAGCAAGAGTCAAGCTCACCGTACTCCAACTCCAGTCCCTTTAACTCAACCACTTCGGTTTCAAACGCCCTATAACTATGGTGCAATTCTCCCGCCTACTCCCCTTGTGTATGGGCAGTATGGCCAGCCGTACGACCAGAAAAGCTTACCTGGCCGGACCGGCTGCCCAACCTCAACCTATTGATTGCAAATGCTCTTGTTATATCTAGTGACAAGCCGCCTCCGTTTTCTTAAGAAATTTTCAACTCTCCTCATCCAACTAAAGTGAAGAGTGTGCTTGTGGGTGGCTACGATGGTACGGGAAACCTAGAAGAGCATGTTACCTCGTACAGAAATTTGATGTACTTGCAAAGTGTGGATTATGCCACCTGGTGTAAATGCTTGCAGGCCACCCTCAAGGGTGTGGCTCAAGACTGGTTCAACAGTCTGCCGACCGGATTCATAAATTGCTTTACAACTTGGAAGACTAGTCTTAACTTGGCGACCATCGTCTAAGGAAAGAAAGAGGGGTCGTACGTTCAGATGTTCAACTTGGAGAAAGCGTAGATTCAGAATCTGCCGGATGAAATGGCCTACTCGAAGTTTCTTCGAGGTCTAAGACATAATGGCTTTAAGTTTGATTTGATTAGAAAAAAATTCAGACATACGCAAATGTTCTGCGGGAGGCCGAATCATATATTGAGGTGGCTGATTTCTGTTCGCTGACAAAGTCAAAAGAGTCGGCCAAGGGTGCCGAGAAGAAACCACCTTCTCAGCAAGACTCGACCGGCAAAAAGAAAGAAGGAAACAACAAAAGAAAAGAAGTCTGTGTGGCTGATTGCCAACAGACCAAGTCAAAGAAAGCCAAGACGTACGAGTACAACAAGGATTGTTACTCAATTTTGATGAAAAATCAAAGACAAGTTCTAGTTTGAGAAGCCCCAACCGTTGAGAGGGCCGACCCAATATAGAAACAAGAACAAGTACTGCCATTACCACAAGGATGTGGGGCATGACACGAACAACTACAACAACTTACAAAGGTTGCTAGATAAGCTGGCCGAGAAGGGCATGCTCAACTCGTACGTTCTGAAGTCTAAGTTCACCTACTCTCGGATAGACAACAAGTCCGAGAAGAAGGAAAAGAAAAAAAAAAATGATGATGGGAACAGCACGGACTCAGGGTTTATGGCCGTCATATCAGACGACTTTGCTGCAGGCGGCCAAACCATGAAGGGAATTAAGCAAGGCGCTTGGAATTTGGGGAATGTAATGCACACAGAAGGGGGCGCTTGGAATTGATTACTTATTGATATTATTAGTTTATTACTACCTTTCTACTGATTTGAGTACTTATTGATAATTACTAAACTACACACCTAACGTTTTATGTTATTTAATTTGTATAGTTATATTTCTTGGTAGCTAGGTTATCATATAATGAAATTAAAAACACTGACATCTTTTACAGCTAGCAACACAAGAAAATATGAGCGAAGATAATATCCTAGACTATAAACATATTTATATAGTTTTTTTTTTTTTTTTTTTTTTTTTTTTTTTTTTTTTTTTTTTAATTTATACAGATTTTCTAATCAATAATAATGCTGCTATTAACGATCACAAAATACATTGATAATAATACTCAGCTACTCAAGTGCTTTTACATTTATATTTTATAAATTAAAGTAGTATCCACCGGCCCCCAACATTTTTTAATCCTGGCTTCACCCCTAGGTGGAGGTGGCAGGGGAAACCGAGAAGGGGCGGGGTACAATATGTGAATTGCAGGGGAGAATGTAAGGGTTTCTCCCACATATTCAGATTAACTCTAATCTTTTTGTTTTTTATTGAATATTTTGGTTTAATTGTTTTATAATTTGAGGTATTAGTTGATTTCTTACTTGACTTCTCTCATATTAAAGGTAAATTAACATTACAATTGAAGCGACATAATCTAGCTCTTCATCACCGACTTAAGCTATTAAATAGGAGACTATCTATTTTATAGGAGACCATCTTTTTTTGGGTAGCTTTTTAGGGGATTGAGTTTTTTAACCTAAGGGACCATCTGTTTTACTCACCTTTGGTTACTTTTTGGCTCGAAATTACACTTGAGGTCCTAAATAGTGAAAAAAAAACCTACACTAAAACAAAAATAGACAAAGTGATCTGTAAAAAGAGACCTTAAATATCATGTAACAGGTCTCTTTGATTATATTAATGAGAGCCATTGCCACTGTTAATAGGTCTCTTATGTACATTTATGGCGGGTAACAAAAATAAAGAGACCTGTTGTTATTGTTAACAGATCTCTTTTATGTTTTATCATTATTTTAATTAAAAAAAATATTTAGAAATATTAGTATCATTGTACTGTAAAAGCTGAAAGGCAATTAGATAAGCATTCACAATTTTTAAAATAAAAACCACTACACTTTATTCTCAATAATAAAAAAAAAAGGTATCCACTACTTTGCACAGCTTAAAGAGTAAAAAAAAAACATAATAATACTCCAAAGAGCAGTTTCATATCTACTCCTAAAATTCTAAACCCTTGAACTTCCGATCCATTGTTTCTCAAGGTCGGTTCACCACCATAATTGAAGGGCCATTGTTTCTCAAGGTGTTGCCACCAACCATCGATCGTCCAATTTTTAGGGTTGTCACAACCGACGTTCGTCGTTCGATATACTCCCTCCGTTAATTTTTATTTGCAACTTTAGAGTGTTTTGCGGTTCACGAGGAAAAACTTAAGGGGCAAATATTAGAGGAAGTATAATGGTGATTAATATATTATAGGAGTATGTAATTAAGGTGGAAAGAGAATGTTTAAAGAAATCAACCACCCACTGCCACCACAAGACCAGCCAACACCACCGCCGCCTTCACCAACACCACCGCCGGCTTCACCACCACCACTACCACCCCCACGAAACCACCACCGCAACCAACCCCACGAAACCACCACCACCCTACTGAAAGGCACATGAGTCCGAACCCTAACCCAGAAATCGTCACCATCACCACCTTCAATAAAACCCAAAACCCACGCCCTAGACCCACCTCTAACCGAGACCACCCAAAAATCCGGCAGCTCCACCCACCCACTCACCCCACCCACGCCCTAGACCCACCTCTAACCCACCTCTGACCCAGACCACCCAAAAATCCGGCAGCTCCACCCACCCACTCACCCCACCGTAACCAACTCACCACACTAACCCTAACCCAAAAAAATCGAACAAAATCCAAAAAAAAACCCAGAAATTCGAAGATAAATCACCCAAACAAATCGAAAAAAATACAAAATTGTAGATCTACAATAATCAACAATAAAAATCAACAATAAAACGGAAAATTAACAATAGAAATACAATACAAAAACATACAATAAGCTTACAAACAGAAAATTAACAATAAAAATTGTTGATCTACAATAATCAACAATAAAAACACGAAACAAAAATGAAAAACGAAACAAATCAAATTGTAGATCCCATTTTGCATCGGCGAACGATGTCTTCATTGTCGAGCTTTGAAGCTGTACACCCCATTTTATGGGTTAGTTTTACAGAGAAATTTGAGAGGAAAGAGAATGGATTAATGGCGGCTTTCGAGTGATTTCATGCTGGTTGTTGTTTTTGGAGAGAAAAAGAACAGTTTAAAAAGGAAGAAGAAGAGTGGAGTGTAGTAGAGTAGAGACTAGCTTACTGTAATAGGAGAGAGAATGGTGGTGTGAGGGGCGGTGGTCGTGACTCGTGAGGGAGGAGGGATGAAGAGTCTGAAGGTGAAAGAGATGAACAGGGTGAAGGAGATGAAGAGAGGTTGAAGAAAGAGATGAATAGGTGGTAGGTAGACTAGGAGATGATTAAATGGAGTAGGTAGAATTAGATTAATGATTTTAGATTAGATTAAAAAGGTTATTGTGATTAAAATAAGATAAGGGTAAAATTAAGAAAATCTGAATTTTTAAGTAAGGGTAAATTTGTAATTTTCAGGGTTTTTGTTTATTTAAAATAGAAAGAAAATATAAAGTTGCACATAATGATTAACGGACTAAAGTGACAAAAGTTGCAAATAAAAATTAACGGAGGCAGTATATAATTTTTGAATACGACTGTCGTTTAGTTGACAGCGTTCGTGGTCGCGCCGTACAACAAACACTCAAAGGCAAAACAAGGTCGTCTGTTGATCGGTGCGACTCACCACCCTCCATTCTCGTTGTTCTAATATGGATTATCTTTGGCTCTTAGTTGTTAATCTATGCACTATCTCTTTAAAAGGTTTCCCCACTTTCTCTCTCCTAGGGTTTCATTTTTTTCGTCAAATTTTCATCGAATTGTTCTTAATTTCGGTTTTGGTAGAAAGTTCATGATCGTAAAGTAGGAGATCTATTTAGTGGTGATATGAAGAGGTTTATTGCAATTGTAGTTGTGATTATGCAGATTTTTAAATGAAGCAGTCGTAATCATTTGAAGTTGAAATCAATGGAGAAATTAATATAAGCAATTCAAGTTTAAGAGAGATGCAGGTTCGGTAACATTAACATTGATCAGTTTATTAGATCAATTAGCATAATTGCTACAATTGCTAATCTTTTACAAGAATTTCTCTTTTAACTTGCTGGATTTTTTTTTTCATATTTCAGATTTTGTTAAAAGTTTTGATTTTTAGTGGTGATTAGTGAATATTGCATTATGGGTTTGATGTAATTGGTTATCGAGTAGTAAATTATTGGTGAACTTGAATTGATGGATTTAAACAATTTTGATATTTGAATGTTAATTGGTAAAATTTGAAAGTTGAGTGAGATTAGATTTTGAGAGGTAAATTGGTGAACATCGAATAAAAGATTTGATTAAGAAATGTTTACAATTTAATTACAAGTTTAAGAACTGTACACAATTTACATTACTCTGAATACGTAATTTCGATAAAACTTTTATGTACATTTGTCTTCTTTGTTAAATTTATAAGCTCATTTCTTTTACCATATTTTTCAAGGATTACTTCTATAATAGTCAATCCACTCTTAATCCTGCGAAATGGCACATATTTACATCAAGCTTATCGGTAGCACATGCATATTCAAATTAGTTTGCTTTGAAGTTTATGTCACAATTAATTTTTTTTAAAAATTCTATTAATGTTTTGAGTCTCATTTGTGCATCTCTTTTGACTGTTCTTTATTAGGTGATGAGGAGGGGAGAAGAGGGGCAACTGTTTATATCAAATATCTGACCAGTAGTAAACTGATGGGTTTGGAGGTAAGTATCTTCACCAAGTAAACTGATGAGTTTAGCTGTGTAGATATCTCGTATACTTTACATAATTGGTTGGAGCTGTTGGAACAACAAGTGTGTAGTGTGTGAATTTTGTGAAAAAACTCAAAGTCCCACATTGGTGGGAAATGAGAGTTTTACTCTCTTTATAATATAGAGAGTGGGCTAAAGGGGTGTGGCCCTTGGGCTACCCACATTTTGTGGAGAGGGAGGACCTATATGGTAAACCATCTATCACACACACGCGCGCCGAACCGAGCCGGGTCGGGTTTATTAAATAAACTTATTTTTTGGACAAGGCTAATTGCGTGATTAGTTCCTTGATTTTTGCTAAACGTTTTTGACTAATTACATTTGACCGTTTTTTCAAAACTGATTAATGGAGCGTTAATCATGCAAACGTTTTCACTGATTTTTTGCTAAACGTTTTGCCACGCATTAATCTTCTGTAACCGTTTTTGAACGTTCCACTTATGACCGTTTTAATTGCGTGATTAGTGCCTAATTAAACAGCAGCAGTTACGTTGCAATTTTGCCTATAAAAGGCGTGTTGATTTCCTGTTTTTAACACACAAAAATACAGAAAACAATCTTCTTCTCCTCTCTATTTTTCCTCACAAAAACAAAACCCTCGAGCAGTTTCTTTTCTTTTTGGTGTTTAGTTGCCCGGTGGTTTTGTGCAGTTCCACCGGTATAATTACAATAGAGAAAGGTTGTTTTATCCTGGGGAACATCCGGTTTAGTACGAACTGCTTGCACATTTTCAGGGCAGTGCCGTGAATGTTCTAAAGAAAGCGACATAGTCCGCGACTCAGTCTAATTTTCGGTAACTTTGTTCTTACTGTTTTTATTCCCCCAGTTCCGTTTATAACAGGACCCTTTTCTGTTTTTTGGTGAACATCGTATAAAAGGTTTAATTTTGAGAGTAGATTGGTGAACATCGAATAAAAGGTTTGATTTTGAGTGGTAAATTATTGGTGAACATCAAATAAAGTTTCTGTCATGTTTAATAGTTGAAAGATAAATTCGATCGAGGGAAATACAAATTTGTTGAGGGATTAGTAAGTCAAATGCAAGTAATAGGCTATTGAGGAAAAGGAAGAGAGGTGTTGCTAAATCAGTAAAATCACTACTTACTAAGGTTTTTTGTTCTTGATATTAAGGTTTTTTCCAGAATTATGAGCCTTGGAGTTTTTATTTTTTTTTATTTTTTATTTTATTTTATTTTTTTATTTAATGATTTTCTAAATGGTGTACAGGACGACGAGCATTTTAAGAAACCCGATCAAGGAAGTTGATGAATGGAGGGCTAAAAAAATTACCAAGCAAGGATGTGTTGGGTTCACTTTTGAATAAAATGAGAGTTGTTGGTTATGGTTTACTTGTAAATTATTCCAATAAGTTCTTATATAAGTACTTGTAAATTATTTCAACAATTTTTTTATATACTTGTAAATTTTTTTTTGAAAGATATGTACCTGTAAATTTTAATAATAAGTTTATTTGATTGTTTCATTTTTTAATTTACAATTTCTTGCCATTTTAGTACAATAATTACAAATTAATAAATATTTTATCATAATTTTTTTAATTTTTAAAAATTAATGTTAAAAGAGACTTGTTATCTAACATTTGATTGTGTCAAAGAGACCTTTTATGTTAAATAACAGGTGTCTTAGCCTTCATATGACGCAATGACATCGAAAGAGACCTGTTGCCTACGTAACAAGTCTCTTTGACACAATCAAAGAGACCTGTTCAATTGAATAGGTCTCTTAGAGCTAGAGACCTCCTCTAAGCAGGTCTTTTATATCATTTATGACAGGTCTCTTTGGCCTTTTTTGTAGTAGTGCTAGGGGGTCCCAAAAGGTGAAAAAATGAAAAAGATAGACCCTATTTTTATACTTAACTCAATTACATACAAAACAATTCAAACTAATTTCTTGAATCGGATTAATTTGGAAAATTGGTATAAAAATAAAAGATTAACAGTTATTATAAGCTGATGAATTTGGAATATTACTATGACAAAATTAGTTGTTATAATTAAATTCAATTATTAGCTTAGGGGAGTAACTTATTTGTTTAGGGGTCTAACTTTTTAATAAGGGTCTAACTTTTTTTGCTTATGGTTAACGATGAGTTAAAGTGAGGTTAACTCACTGGAAATTACACGATAGACCCCAAATACTAGGTAAAAATACTTGGACACTAAATACAATATTTTGCAAAAAGTTGGAACCCATTTGTTATCTTAACTCCCTTACAACTTGGTCTTTGATTTGACCTTTTTTTTTTTTTTTTTTTTTTTTTTTAGATGAAAATCTCTATTACAGAGTATGTTTAATTTACCTTCAATATTACACAGTTTGTTTATTTATTTATTTATTCTTTTATTTGAAAGAAACAAAATATGTTTAATTTTTACATTCAAAATGCTAGAAATATGGAGTAATTATATTATGAGCTACTTCAACCGTTCTAATAATATTGCAACAAGGATGAAATTACGCATCCTAAAAACACATATATATAGAAGACATGAGCTCATCACGTGTCATCATGACTAGACAGATGATGTGGCGCCATGTCATACAATTACTATATAATTAAAAAAAATAATGAATTGTTAGCATTTATGTTCAAACCTATGATCTCATGCTTATTATACTTTAATTTCAACCACTACTCCAATGACACATTTCATATCTATAATGTTTTTGTTAAAAAGAGTTAATCATATTCATAAACTTGAAGTCGAACGAAGCAAATTAATAATTTTAAATACTAGATATTGGATAATATATTTTAATGTTCAATAATGATTGGAAAAATATATTTAAATATTACTTCCTCCGTACCCGAAAGAACGACCCTTTTGGGTTGATTTTGCGGGTATTAAGAAACTTAATTTGCAAGTACAAATGTATGGGAAAGCACAAGTGACAATCATTTGCAATTAATACCTAGAGAGAGAAAGTCCTTTTTTTTTATCGTTCACCGATTTTCTAAGAGCAAACCTTTGGGATTTTTTATCTTTATTCTATGCCCAATAAAAATGCTGTAATAATGCACTAATCCATGTGATGCTTTATTAACTAATAAGATTACAGATTTGTTTTACAACAACCAATAGAATTGAAATACACAAGATTGCCAAACTGGCAAATTTAAAAGGAAGGGAAATGAAATCAGATTTCCCTCCTTTTGCTGTATAAAATGAAATTTTCATTCCCTCTTAAAATATTTTTACACAATCACTAAATATCCTTAAAAAAAATTTCTGCTTCAAAGTTAATTCACTATCATCATTGCCTGCTTTATCATGGCTTCAAACATAATTTTCGATTTGAATGTTGTTGTTAAAGATGTTGCTAATGAAGATGTAAGTCATGGAGGGGAATATTTTGCGTTTGGCATATATCTCAACCAAATTCCAACAACTGAAGGCATACAGACATCAGACCAACAAGTAGCATTTCATAATGGCCAAGCTTACATGGATGATCAAGCAACACAGAATCAACAACAGCAGCCAGTTGGTCATCATAAGCGCAGCCTCAAAAGTGAGGACAAGCACAATATACTTATATAGCTTCTAAACAGAGAAACTTATGGCAACCTAGATAAGGGAGCAATCAAAGCTGCTGCACAACAGTTCAACATAAACAAGAAATACATAAGCCTTATATGGAACAAGAGAAATAGGCAACCAGGAGGTGAACAAGTGTATAATCTGACAACAAAATTTCATCTTTGTGGGAGGAAAAGAATATAGATATCTTCTGAATAAATTCAGAGTATTTTAATGGGAAATAGATCTTGTCAAAGGGATTTGGCATCTCTTCTCAATGTCTCAAAAAGCATAGTGCAGAGGCTTGTGAGGAGGGGAGACATACGACCCCATACAAATGCTCTGAAACCAAGTCTCAAACCAACAAACAAAAAGGAAAGATTATGGTGGATTTTAAGTCACCTTATTGATGAGACAGCAGGCACCAAAAGAGAATATCTACCACAGTACAACACAGTCATGATTGATGAGAAATGGTTTGAAATGACAAAGAAATCTAAAAGGGCCTACTTGGCAAGAGGAGAGAAGGGGCATTACAAATATGCTCATTCAAGCAAACACATCCCTATGGTTATGTTCAGTGCAGCAGTTGCAAAGCCATTGTACAATGCACAAAAAGAATGCATTTTTGATGGGAAACTGGGAATATTCCCATTCACATATGAAGCACTAGCTTTAAGAAATTCAAAGTACAGAAAGAAGAGAGAAATGGTGACAAAGGTGGTGAAGAGAGTCATAAGAGATGTTTCAAGGAAGATGTTCATTGAGAATATTGTACCAGCAATTATGGCTAAATGGCCAAATACAGGACAACACAACACAATTTACATCCAAAAGACAATGCAAAACCACATGTGCTTCAAGATGACCCAGAGTGGAAACTACATTGTAAGCAGCTAGGATTCAGTTTCATTCTCATTTAACAACCACCAAACAGTCCAGACTTAAACATTTTGGACTTGGGTTTTTTTAGGAGCATTCAATCACTACAACACAAGAAATTTGCAAGAAACCCAGAGCAACTTATAAAGGTTGTCAAAGAAGCATTCTATGAGTTGGGTGCAAAGACATTGTTCAAGTGTTGGGTCACTCTAAATCATGTTATGAATCAGATTTTAAAGGCTAAAGGTTCAAATAAGTATGAACCTCCACATGTAAACAAAGCCAAGCTAGACAGAGAAGGGAGACTACAGGATCCAGTTGAAGCACCTCTTTGGGCTGTCATAGATGCATGGGAAAGGATTTATAGGGACAGAGACTTCTCAAATGATGAGCAGGAACAAGAAAATATTGAAAGTACACAAAACAATGCATCACAACAACCATTTGTTATGGCAAACGACCATGAGGCATCAACATCTAATTCCAATGCTATGAATAGCCAACAACAATGATTTAGAGTACGTAGAACTTTGGTTTTATTTTAGTTTTTGGGGGTTTTTTTTTCCATAGAAGTATGTAATGGGACGGGGTGGGGGGGACTGTAGTTGGTATCTTTTGTTTGTTGGTGAATGTTTCACTTCAAAATCTATGTAAGACCTTCAAATATCAAATATGAAATGAAAAAAGAAGTCATTTTGTTTTGAAAACAGATGTGCTCAGAACTTCCCAAACATCATTGAAAATATCTCAGAACAGGGATTACATCATTGCAATTTATGTAAAGTGAATTCAGATGTCCCCAAGCTTCATGGAAAAGCCAAGAAAACTTTCGCTTAATTTCCAAAGTCAACAAAGTAAGTAAGTCAAGCAAAGTTGACTTATTGACTAGGGACAACAGAAATCTTGGGAATATCAAATTGGCTATATATCTCAGCTTTAATGGACTCAACATAGTTAAAAGAGAAAAGAAGAAAAAAAAAGTCTCTGGCTAACATTGCATATCATTGAAGGCAATACATGGAGTGTATGTTCCACATAATAAGACCTCACATGAAATGGTACCTAGTTGGCAAGCTATCTCAACCTATTAGCAATCTCAAATGATCTAAGGGTTAGACACAAAACAACATGTTATGTGACAGCCTTCTCATCATAATGTATTTTCATCATAGACCTCAATCAAATGGTATTCAACACAAACAGAAAATAGATATCAAATGGGACTACTATAATGTACATTTACCAAATGGGATAATATAAACATATGTACCTTACTGTGTACATGTAAACAACAATCCCATTTGCAAATGCACATAGTGAGTAGGTATTTGACATCATTAAAGAGGCCTCAGAGTCTTCCCTTTAATCATTGAAGGCATGTACAACAAACACATAACAGGTTGAATGCACTCTACTCTAGACCCTAGACACAAATGGTACCTAATGGTTAAGATAACACATCCTATGGAGCAATCTATTTATGCAAGGAACATTAAAAAGGAACAAAAACACTTGCACAATACATCAAAGCCTTCTCAATGAATGTTCTCATCATAGACTAAAACAACAATCATGTTACATGTAACAGGCAACAACCAGACAACCAGTGAACAAGGCAACAACTAAACAACAAGGCAACAAAAATAATCAGGCAAAAACAGACATCAAGGTAACAGCAAGGCAACAACCAGCCAACAAATGCAGCAACAATATCCATACCATAAATTTAAGTCAAAGCAACACAGGCAATTCCAAAAGCGAAACACAACCACATATACTTTTTACTGAATCCAAATCCAAAATACAATACTACTAGTCACATGCAAATCATAGTTCCAAAGTCTAACCATAAATAGCTACCAATTCTTACAAACAAGGCAACATATAACTTAGCTCTGAGATTCTCTGTCGGAATCTTTGTTAGGGGACTTCACTTTGTTAGTTGAAGAGAAACCACCACCAACATCATTATTGGACTTCACTTTGTTAGTTGAAGGGCAGCCACCAGCATCATCATTAGAGTCAGAGTCAGAGGGGCAGTATGTAACACCCTAGATATTCCTTTCCTTTAAAATACCTATTTTGCCCTTTTAAAATACCAAAAAGGAAAATCTAAGACATTACCGCCATCGTGAAAACGGCTAAGACAAATATCAAAGACTCACACACAGGGGAAGACTATCTTTAAAACCATTTAAAACAAGTTAACTTAAAAAGTCAAACTAAACGAAAGTAAAAGTCAAACTAAGTCAAACAAAGTAAACCTACAACTTGGAACCATTGTAGGCCCTTAAGCCAAACGATATTAATAAAAAACCTTTGTGTTAGTCTCATAAGCTGAATAAAATAATTAATATTCAAAGCAAATAAAACACATCATATTCCTATGAGAACTAAGCATGATTCGCTCTTCACACATGTCCTTCATGAAAATGCCTCATCACCTGAAAAGCTTCTCTCTACTTGTCCCCACTACTCGCCATTAGAAATGGGTCGTTGTAGGGCCAAGGTAAAGACAAGGCTAAATAAACATACAAACACACAATCAACAAAGCTGAGTACATAAGCGTAATAAAACATACTAACATGCTTTCATCCTAACATCACACAACTTACCGTGTTGTACCTGTTTACAAGCATACAAAACATTCAACACCTAACTAGACCAATACTAATGTTTATTTAATTTTGATTACACATCGAACGGGTTTCCAACCAAATCCCTGCCTCAAATAAATTGGGTAAATTACACCAGGAGCTAACCAGGTAGGCAAATGTCACATGAAGTGACTGGATGTCTTGCGCATAAAATAAATAAAAAGGAAAATACAGCGTCTGGTACTCCCAGTAGAAGTTATGATCAAATATAAAGTCGCATAACTCCCCCCATATGTTCATACTCAAGGTATATAGTTTTGGTGTGTAATCTCTTTCACTTTACATTATTTACGTATTATTATACTTGGTGATGACTCTCAAACCATAGCACAATCAAGCACAATAAATCATTCAAGCAACCAAGCATACCAATTTAATTTTTAAATAATTAGTGTCCACATAAATTTAATAGTTGAACCCTTTTTAATCTACCTTAGTGTTAAAGACACCTTAAACGCATAATGCGCCGCAAATCCTATCCCTCGGTGTTAGAAATACCTTAAATGCACACAAGCATCGCAATATAATTTATTCATGTGTACTAAGACACCTGATAGCTCAATTCCCATGCTTAAAGCATCAATAAAAATTATATGAACCATAATAATATTTCCTTTTCATATTCCAAACCAAATTAAACATTTAGTTTAATTAAACATGCCTTAATCATGTCAATAATAAAAGTGTGGTTCATATTCAACATGCCAACATAATTAGTTCCAATCACCAATTCGTCACAAATAAATCACACATCACAAATCATTTACCAACAACAATCCAATCAACAATTTCCTACCAACACCTATCACGATACTACTTGTAATTACACAAAGTCTAGCATGCTTCTACATATTCAAATAATTACTAAGTACGCGAACGTACCTTGAATATGATCTCAAAATCGCCACGACTAAATAAAATCACTCACTTGGAAGTCTCCTACAAACCAAAATTATAAAGAAGTATTAATACCTCTTCCACGCGAATTTCCAACAATATTTACTCTCTTTAAATCACTCATAAACCCTCTAAAATATTCTGAAATTTAATTTAAAACCGTTACTTTTATTCCCAATTAATGACTAATTAAAAATCCTTTCAAGAAACATAATTATAGCTTGTATATAAAAATTCCAGCATTATTAAAACTTATAAAATTGCTGTAATTTAGTTTAAAAACATTAATTTCAATAGTTTTAATCAACCACAATCAAATTCCATCAATAACCATTAATTTAGAAACCTAGGGTTTTCAATTTGGGGCTTTTTAATTCAAAATTAAATCTGAAAATTTATGTACAAAATACTTGTTATTAAACTTCCTAAAATCATCATGAAACCCAAAAACAATAATTAGATTAAGGTAGATTTAATTAAAAACAAAAACAAAATTTTTTTTTACGCCACCGGCGCACCCAACCACCTAGGCTGGCTGCTGTTGCCGGCGAGTGCTGGTGGTGGCAGCTGCTGTTGCCGGTGAGTGCTGGTGGTGGCAGCCGCCGACCGGTGGTGGCGTGTGGTGGTGGTCGGCTGGTGTGTGGTGGTTTGTGTGGTGATTGAAAATAAAATAAAATTAAGGGAAAAATTAAGGGGAAAAGAAAATAAGAGAGAGAAAGTTTACCTTTGGGTGCATTCCACCTTAGGCATATGATGGGTATTTTACACCCTCTCAAAATCCCTCCTGCTTAAAATTCCTTTACTACCCTTAATGATTTCTTTCCTAGTCAAATTAGTATTTTGACTTTCCTTAAATACCATTGACTTTAAAAATTATCTTTTTATAAAATGATATGCCCCAATATTTTTAAATCATAAAATAAAATATTTTCAAGATTATGAAATAATTAAAAATAAACTTTTTTAATTAAAATAATTCTTTTTAAATTAATAAAAACCATAAATAATTCATTTCGAATTATTTAAATACTTTAAGAAATACTTATTTAAATTAAAATATGTATAAATATACGGGGTATTACAGTCTACCCCCCTTAAAAGAAGTTTCGTCCCGAAACCTTGGGTAATAAAATTCAAACTTTTTCCTCACTTGGTATAATATTGTTGTACTCTTTTGTCATACTCTTGCCTTTAACAACTCTTTGTGATCAAAACTACTCGAAATAACCGTTAAAAATGTGTAAAAAGCACAAAAATAACTGAAAATATAGGAAAAAAGCACGAAATTCTACCGCATTCTATTCCCCTTAAAGAACACGAGTTACGTCCCCGTAACTCACCATACCTTAAACAACTCAGGATACTTCTTTTTCATCTCATCCTCGGCTTCCCAAGTTACTTCTTCATACTCTTGGTTAGACCATAGAACTTTAACAATGTTAACTTCCTTATTGAGTGTACGACGCACTTTACTGTCAAGGATCTTGACAGGTCTTTCCTCATAAGTTAAGCTTTGATCTAACCCAATAGTTTCAGGTTGTAGCACATGTGACTTATCAGGGATATACCTTCTTAATTGAGATACATGAAATACATCATGGACTTTACTTAGCTCCATAGGTAAGGCCAACCTGTAAGCTACTTTGCCTATTCTTTGCAATACTTCATATGGTCCAATATACTTTGGGCTAAGCTTCCCTTTCTTTCCAAATATCATTATACCTTTCATTCATGACACCTTTAACAATACTTTGTCACCGACCTCAAATTCCTCCTCTCTACGCTTCAAATTCGCGTAGCTCTTTTGGCGATTTTGCGCCGCTTGAATCTTAGCTTGAATCTCCCTCACCTTCTTAGATGTATCCTCGATCATTTGAGGCCCTAGAATCATTGTTTCACTTATGTCGTTCCAACAAATTGGACTGCGACACTTCCTTTCATATAATGCCTCAAATGGAGCCATGCTAATGCTTGCATGGTAGCTATTATTATAGGAAAATTCAATTAAGTCCAAGCTATCTTCCCATCCCCCTTGGAAATCTATAACACAAGCCCTCAACATGTCTTCCAAGGTTTGAATAGTTCTCTCAGTTTTTCCATCTGTGGCAGGGTGAAAAGTTGTACTCAAGTGTTGTACCAAAGTTTTCCTGTGTACACTCGTCCAAAACCTTGAAAGAAACCTAGAATCTCTATTAGACACAATATCTTTTGGAACTCCATGTAAACTCACCATATTTTTTATGTAAGCTTTTGCAAGTGGTTCCATTTTCCAGGTATCCTTCATTGGTATAAACATTGCAGATTTTGTAAGTCTATCCACCACTACCCAAATGGTGTCGTTTCCACTCTTTGACTTTGGGAGGTAAGTCACAAAGTCCATTGAAATATAATCCTATTTCCATTTAGGAATTTCCAATGATTGCACAGTTCCTTGCGGTCTTTTGTGTTCTATCTTCACTTTCTGACAAGTTAGACACTTTGCCACAAATTCCGCAACTTCATTCTTCATTCTGGGCCACCAATACACTTTTTTCAAGTCCTTATGTAGTTGTCTCCTCCTGGGTGTACTATGTATGGTGTATTGTGAGCCTCTTCCATCAACTTCCTCTTTAAGTCCTCACATTTTTTTGGTACACACCAACGACCTTTGTATCTTAAACTCCCATCTTCATGAATCTTGAAATCCGTAGCTTTTCCTTGCTTTATTTTCTCACGAATCCTATCCAACTTTACATCTCCTTTTTTATTTTCCCTTATCTCATCAAATATTGTTGGTTGGTAATCAGATTCGCAAGTATGCCTGCTGGCACTCCCCATTCTACCACTTCTAGATTCTTTCTCCTCATTTCTCTATATATCTCATCAGCCACTATCAAAGTATTCAGTCCATGACTAGTTTTACGACTTAGAGCATTTGCGACTACATTTGCTTTCCCCTCATGATATTGTATGTCTAAGTCATAATCCATCGTATACTCTAACCATCTCCTTTGGCGTGAGTTTAAATCCCTTTGAGTGAAATTGTATTTCAAACTCTTATGGTCTCTATAAATCCTACATTTCACTCCATACAAGTAATGCCTCCAAATCTTTAGCGCAAAAATGATTGCAGCTAATTCTAGGTCATGAGTAGGGTAATTTACTTCATGCGTCTTTAGCTGTCTTGATGCATACGCAATCAACTTCCCATTTTTCATAAGTACACATCCTAGACCATTCTTGGATGCGTCACTATATACGTCATAAACTCCATTAGCGTCTGGCAGTGTAAGCACTGGCGTTGTGATCAGCTTTTGTTTCAAAAGTTGGAATGCTTCCTCACACTTGTCATCCCATTCATACTTCTTGTCCTTTTTCATTAGAGAGGTCATAGGTTTAGCAATCTTCGAGAAATCTTTCACAAAACGTCTATAATACCCTGTTAAACCTAAGAAACTCCTAACGTCAGACATTGTTTTCGGCGTAGGCCAACCTTTCACTGCCTCGATCTTTGCGGGATCTACCTCTACTCCATATTTGGACACAAAATGGCCCAGAAATGCTACTTTCTCCAACAAAAACTCACACTTAGAGAACTTTGCGTAAAGCTTGTTTTCCCTTAGTGTTTGCAGAACTGCCCTTAGATGTTCTACGTGTTCTTCTTTACTCTTCGAGTACACCAGTATATTATCTATGAATACTACCACAAACTTGTCCATAAATGGATGAAACACCCTATTCATCAAGTCTATAAAAATTGCTGGAGCATTCGTCAATCCAAATAGCATTACTTTAAACTCATAATGTTCGTATCTTGTTCTAAATGCAGTCTTGGGAATATCTTCATCTGCAATCCTAAGTTGATGGTATCCAGACCTTAAATTAATCTTAGAAAGCACAGTTGCGCCTCTCAACTGGTAAAATAGGTCATCAATCCTTGGTAATGGGTACTTGTTCTTTATGGTGACCTTATTTAACTCCCTATAATCAATACACAACCTCATACTTCCATCCTTCTTCTTCACAAATAACACTTGCACTCCCCAAGGTGATGCACTTGGTCTTATATAACCCTTTTCTAATAAATCCTACTGTTGCTCCTTTAACTCACTCATCTCTGCAGGTGCCATTCGATATGGTGCCTTGTAAATTGGTGTTGTTCTTGGAATTAGCTCTATTGTGAAATCAATTGCCCTTTTAGGTGGCATTCTAGGAATCTCTTCTGGAAACACATCTAGAAACTCGTTCACTACTTCCATATCCTCAGGCTTAGTTGTCTCCTCATACTCCATATTCCTCACACTACAAAAATATACTAGATGCCCCTTCTTAATATACTTTGCCAGTTTTAACACATATATGATCCTTGGGCACTTAGTTTCACCATGCATCCAATATGTTACCAATTCATTATCAGTTGTAGTCATTCTCACTTTCTGTGATCTACAACTAATCTCTGCACTGTACTTGCTCAACCAATCCATTCCCAAAATGACATTGAAGTCACTCAATCCAAACTCAATGAGATCCGACAGAAACACCTTTCCTTCGATTTCTAAGGGTACATATCTAAAGATCTTGTTACACTTTACTACCTCCACCCGTAGGAATAATTATAGGCAAATCTACCTCATCTACGGTTTTCAAACAGTTTGATAACTTCGAAACAATGGCCTTTGAAATGAAAGAAAAAGTTGCACCAAAATCAAACAAGACTTTAAGAGGAATAGAGTTAATAGAAAAAGTACCAGTGATGACATCTTTCGTGGAATCAGCCTCATGCCTACTCATAACATTCAACTTTCCTGCAGCCCCACCTTTCTGTTGGTTGTTCCCATTACTATTGTTGGGTTTCGCCGCATTCTGTTGTTGCTTGTTCCCAGAATAGTTCTTACTTCCCTGAAAGTTCCTTTGAGCCCCACCTTGATTATTTCCCTGCCTGTTTCTATTGGGGTCCTTGGAGAAACATTCATACTTCCTATGTCCTAACTTGTTGCAAGCACGACAAGTAACCAAATTCCCATCACAATCCCTTCCAGGGTGGTCGTTCTTACACCTCTTGCAATAAAAATGCCTTGCTCCCCTGTTATTTCCCTGGCTAGAGCTCCTAGCTCTACCATTAAAGTTTCGTCCACCTTGGCGATTGTTGTTTTGGAAATTATTGTTGTTGTGGAAGTTGTTGTTATTATGGTGGTACTTTTGCTTCTTAAAGCTGTTCTGGTTACCTTGCGGGTTTCCAGAATTCTGTCCTACCTCTTTTCTCTTTTCTCTCCCATCTATCTCAGTTATCTCTTTCTTTTTCTTTAATTCTAAGGCATATAGGTGTGCAGCTCTCCCATACACTTCATCCAAGGTTTCAAATACTTGACCGCACAGCTTTAACTGCAAATCAGTAGTCAGACCACTCTCAAACTTTCTAGCCTTAGACTTTTCTGTAGAAAAAGACTCCTTAGCAAATCGTGACAACTCAATAAACCTGGTATAGTATTCAGTGACTGACATATTCCCCATAGAAAGATTAGAAAATTCCTCATCGTTTTGTTTCTGTAAGAAGCTAGGGTAAAACTTGTCCCTAATCTTCTCCTGAAACATAGTTCAATTAAATCCAGGTAAAATGGTAGCTTCGTTTTGCTGCCACCAAAGGTCAGCTTCACCCCTCAAATAATATGTAGCACAACCCACTTTTGAATTCTCTAGACACCCTACTGCCCCAAACAATTTCTCAAACTCCCTCAACCAGTTTTCCAGTATAGTTAGATCAAGCTCTCCTTGATAAATTGGTGGCTTACTCTACGTCACCTTCTTAAACAGCTCTCCCTGAGCATCTCCATCATTGGTTGAGTTCCTTGCCAACTGTTGAGCAACAGCTACCAATTTCCTCACCACTTCACTCAACTCTCCACCTTCATTGTTGTTACCACTCCCACCTGCCATTCTTCCTCGCCTGAATCAACACAAAGGGGTCTTTATTAAATACGGTCTTGGCTAGCTCTCAAGTTAGACACCCACCTAACTAGTTAACACCTTTGAAACATACACATTAAATTTAAGCTAACAAATTGGAATTTAAAACTTCCAAAATTTGTAGCTTTCCAGCCAAATATTGATTGCTAACCAACCACACATTTAATAAAGCATCACATTAATAAATAAAAATAATCCCCATGGATTCCCAAAGTTTAGAATAAATTATTGGAATTATTTTTAGCAATAAATGGCTTATTGGAGTAGTGATACAAAATGAATGATTTGAGAACGAAATTAATGATTTGTCAATATAATGAAATAATTGACAAAGAAGTAAATGAAATTTTTATTGATAAGTAAGAAAATGAATGGAATACTGAAATAAAATGAGTTTAAGTAACTTATGCAACTACATAAGTTTACTAACTCACTGTGGACATGCCACTTATTACTCTACTGAACTGAAATAATTAGAAAGCGGAAATAAATCTAAGAATCTTAAAGAAATGAAACTACAAAAATCTAGTGCTTTCGAACTTTGTCCCTCTTGTAGGTAGATTGTTTGTAGCTTCTAGGAGCAGATTCAGGGTCATCTTCTTCCTCCATTGGTTCAGGTGACTCTGGTTCTTGCTCTACTTGAAAAAACTCTTCATCTTCCTCATCATCAGATGAGATATCAATTATAATTTGGATTTGAAATTTCCATAATGGAACTATCAACAGTCTGGTTACTCTCATCCATCATCTCTCCTTCTTCCTGCCCACCACCTG